GATCAGTTGTTACAAGCAAGGTGAGTCCATATTTCTGCACTCTAGTAAAGGTTTCAGATGGATATATGCCGCGCTGATATAAAATGCTGTTGATGCCAAATGCTGGAAACAAAAGGAATGTTAAAGAAAAGTCATTATCACTTTGTAACTCTGGAAAATAAAACATATTTAGATGTGGCTACGTTTCATTAATGGCATAAAACCATAAATGCCTTAACGTGTTTGTGGGTGTTTTGCTGAAAGCAGAGTAGGTAAAAAGTGGCATTAAACATTCTTAAAACCTTGCTTCTAATTAAGAGAGAACACGATACCTGCATTTCTGTGGCAAAAAAAGAGAAAAACGCCAAACTGCATTAATCTACTGTCAAAGTAGTACTACAACTCACTGTAATCCAAGTCCCAATTCAGATTATGTGGTTAGAGGGTGTCAAAATAGGCTTTTGCATCTCAGTTAGCAACTGATTAACTGTTCTCTGCAATGCTCTCAGCAAACCTTTCCCTCTTTTTCCTCCTTTTCTCCTCACAAGTCCTGCCAGATCCTATCAGAAGGCCCAACTGTCCTGGTCCGGAATGGCGTTTCCTAACTCTAGTCCATCACCGCCAATACCAGAATCAAAGAGGGGCCGAGGGGTTGTTAAAAATATACGTGGCCCCCACCCCGGTCCTACTCCGTCTGAAGTCGCGGAGGCTGGGGGCGGGCGGAAAGTGCCTGGCTCTGTAGTTGAAAGCAACGCTGCAGGTGGAGGGGCTACATCGCGCCGCAGGCCTCAGCAGCACCTAGGCCTCAAGCCCCACCATTAGCAAGGAGCCCGGAGGCGGCGTCTGCATCCGCTTCTTCCTAGATTCTCCCGCCGGGCAGGAGGCTGGGGCAGAGAGAGCTTAATTCGCGGCCTCGCGGCCTCCCCTCCACCCCCTCCCGCTTCCCCCGCCTCCGCGGCTGAGCCCCGGGCCTACCGGGCGGCCTGGCCTCAGTTCACCCCGCCCTCCGGCCTGCGCGAGGACGACTTACAGAAGAACTCGGCCACGATTTCGGCGCTCCCGCGCAGGGTGATGCCTTGCTCCCGGGAGAGCTGCAGCGCCATGGCCAGTCCTACAGACGAAGGAGTGCGCTTCCCCCCGGCAGAGAGCGACAGCAGAGACGCCCACAGCAGTTCCCCGCCACTCGTTTCAAAAGTAACGGCGCAGCACGCGCTCGGGCCTCGGCGCAGGCGCGATGAGCCTCTAGGCCCCGCCCCGTGGGGCGGGGCCTGCAGGTCCTCTGGGCGCTTTTCGGAGCTGGCCTGTCCGCAGGCGCAGGGGGTAGGCGTGGTCGCCCAGTTCTGGGTGGTCAAGCTCCGCAGGGTCCCGGCTGGGCGTGTGTAGTTGTGGTCTACTAGACCGGCCTGAGGGAAGAAGACGCCAAAACCTGGTGTGTTTTTTTGTTTTTTTAAAGATTTTATTTATTGGGGCGCCTGGGTGGCTCAGTCGTTGGGCGTCTGCCTTCAGCTCAGGTCGTGGTCCCAGGGTCTTGGGATCGAGCCCCGCATCGGGCTCCCTGCTCCGCGGGGGACCTGCTTCTCCCTGTCCCACTCCCCCTGCTTGTGTTTCCTCTCTCATTGTCTCTCTCTGTCAAATAAATGGATAAAAATCTTTAAAAAAAAAAAAAAGAATTTATTTGAGAGAGAGAGAATGAGAGAGAGCACATGAGAGGGGGGAGGGTCAGTTTCAGATATTTTAAATATTTAAATATTTAGGTGGAATTACTTTAAAAGAAAATTTTGTTGCACACCATATTCAAAATGCTAAAAATTGTACACCTTGAGGTGTTGAAAACATGATCTTATGAAAATATCAGCCATTTTCACAGATCTGGAAAAAAGCTACTGAATTGTACTATATGCCTACTTAAGTTTTTGTTAGCTAAGCAAATAGATTTATTTTGAGATATGCAACTATGAATAATTGCCACTGCATTAATTCTACCACATTGTTAGGAATCATGACCTTGCATTGCAGACTCTAAAATGGATCTGAATTTGAAACCCTGAGAACACTAGCGATAGAAGGGCAATGGGAAACATCATTATAAGGGCTCCTACAGCTTCTTTTAGGAGGAAAGAATCTGATACACATGAGTACTTTCAGGGCACTAAAAAAGCAGCTTAAAGCTGACCATATGAACCCTGTTTATAAACAATACAAAAAGAAAAGGTCATTCCTGCATCAGAATTACCATCATAAAAAATATTATAAATAATATTAAAGTCACACTGAGTCAATAACCACAGGGTTTTATTATCTTCAACACTACTGACAGCTTAATAAAATATGCTTAACAAATCATTTGTTTGAAAATGGAAAACTATATTCCTATGTAATTACAGAAACAGTGTTTTTAAAAAGTGGATGGCAATATTTATTTTATATCCATCATCTGATTTTAATACAAATATCTTGCCAATAAAAATGTTACAGCTTTTAGAGATAAGAAAAAAATATGAAAGAAAGAAAAGAGAAAAGAAAAAAGTCTCAAACACAGGACCCAGAATGTCAACTAATTCAGCACAGTTTTGCAGTGTCAAGTAAAAAGTCTCTCATAGAAAGTTACATGGAAGTGTAAAACTTCGGTTTCTGGACTTTGATCCAAGCGGTCATAAAAACTGGTCCTCATTAGTAACTCCTATTTCCATTATATGTCAAATATTCTCAAGCTTTTGCCTAGTACAAAACAAAGCAATAAGAAGTCAATCATGTTACCCCTACAATACTAAATGATCTAAAACATAACCCACAATGGCAGAAATGATTAGTAACTAATGAAAGGTAACATTATTTTAATATGCTGTCAAGAATAACAACAGCTGTTAAAGTGGCATTAGCACCCGGAAGCCTTCATTTGCAAAGGCATGAAGATTAGAGCCCTTAATTAACACAGTAGTATCTCAGGCGGGTAGAACTGCAAAGTTGTCTAGAATGGTGAGGGTGGGAGTTTCCGTATGTTGTAGTTTACTAGTCTCCAGTTAATTTTTATGCCAATAGATTATGTTATGAATTGTTCAACTGACACTCAAATTCACATCAACAGGCTGTGATTACTAAAAAGCATCTATGCTCCAAGCTTGTAGCTTTGAACTAGGTGCTTAGCTCTGTATTTGAAGATAGTTATAGGAAACAATGTAATATAGCAGCCGAACTGCTTTCAAGGTCAACCAAAATTCACGGGTATTTAAATGAGAATTTAGGGATGCCAGAAACCTTCATTCTGTTCAGTGACTACTACTGAGTACAGATCATTCAGTTTGGGAATAGGATAAAAAAGCATGCATGAATGTCATGCATGGAAGTAGTTCCATCAACATGCCTGTTTACCGGCACAGATGGCCAATCTAAGTGAATCCAAATTTATTTTAAATTTAAAAACATGTTAAATGTTTCTACAGAACTGTCTCATGGGGTCCTGAATCACACACAGTACTCATTTTACACTTACAGAGTGTAACAAAAAGGATAAAAGCAGAGTAACAGCTTCTAGTTAAAAGAAAAAAAAAAAATCCTAGCTATAAAGTTAAAATGTCTGCAATAAGTTTTTACCACAACCATATGAATCACACTGGGTTTAGAAGTTTGGAATTTTTATAATCAACTACTGTCTAATCTCTCAATCTTAAATCTCTAGTTAATGCCACCAAATATAAGCCCAAACAGGAACCTCTGACTACACACAAGCTCTTAGGTCGTATTCTTTAAACTGACAACTTTCAGCACTTTATACTTAAGGAGGGCCTGTACTACTCTTAAATATTTTACACTTTCGTTTTCCACGTTTTACTCAACATAAACTCTTAGAAATATATAAGAATATATATACACATACATGTCATAGAAAGTGGTCAGCCTATTGTCAACATCAACTATAATATAAAAACCGTAACTAAAAAAGTCTTTATACAGAGTTTCAGATGATCTGAATTTTACACAGAAAAGTGTAACTTTGAGAAATGAGGACTGTAATCCTGTGCTACTTGGGAGAAAAAGTAATGTGAAAAGAAAATTAAATGTAACCCCTTCCATTTAACTTCCAATAAAATGTTACTTTCAAAGATTTGGCAGGCTCTGAGTGAAGTGTTCTTATGTATGACTACTTAAAAAGATCACCAAACTATCCTAAGTTTCTGTCTTTAAAGGGAGAGAAGGAAAAAAAGAAGAGGACACTGATGTTGACTTGTAAGACAAATCACTTTTTTCTTTCAACTACTAATAATCTGCCTACAGAACATCTCCAAAGAACAGCCTGACACACTGAAAAAAATCAGCCCAGCTCTCCTGCCCGCTCCCCATTCAATGGGGGCAGAAAAGTGCAAGTGTGCAAGGGTGAAAGGAAACTAGGGACAGATGGCCTCGGAGTAGCAGGTGACCTTTGAAAACTGGGGGCCCACAACAATCAATAGTTCCAGATCTAGATGGCCTTCGTGCCTCACCCCGAACTCGCAGGAAACTGTCCTTTGAAAAGAAACCACTTTTCTTTTCAGGGTTTATCCTCTGGTTGCTCCAGATTCAGATTTTGAAGGAAGACAGCCAAAGCGGGGAAAGAGGACTTTAAAAGGAGGGCGGAGTAATTAAACAGAAGAGATAAGATTTGCCCTAAGCTATCGCCTCGGTCCAAAACCCCCGAAAGGGATGAAATCGACACAAACTCGTTTAGGAGAAACTGCCTTAAAAAGAGCCCCTTCTAAAATCCCAAAGGAATACACCGTAAGAGCATAAAGGAAGACAAAAATATCAGACAGTCCATTTTCAATGAAGCATCCCTCTGCCCCCCCGCCCCCCGCTGGGCGCCCCCAAGGTAAAGTGGCAAGTGGGGGGAGGCTGAAGGGACTACCTTGTTTTGTCTCCAAAGGGCAACACAGCAAACATAGGAAGGTCCACGTGCAGACCACGCGGCCTCCGCAGACTCTGGACTCCGGGAGGCGCCGGGGGGCGACGACGTGCCCAGGGGAGGCGGTGACTCGACGCCTGCTCCCTTACCGACCCCGCCACCGGGCCGCCGCCCGCCGCAGCCCGCTCGCTCCGCGCTGCGCCGCCCCCTGGCGGGGAGCGCCCGGCAGAGCGGAGGCCGACCGCCGGCGGGGGGGAGCCCAGCGCCGGGCCTCGGCCGGCCGCTCCACCATCACCGCCTTGAGAGCGCTTTCCTGGCGGCCAAGGCAGCCCGCGCCAGCTGCCCGACGGCCGCTGCCTGGAGGCGGCGGCGGCGGCGGCGGCGGGTTCGGGACTCTTCTCCAAAGAGGCGCGTCCTGGAGGCAGTCGGAGTCCGCGTGCAGAAGCCTTTGCCCGCGCCAGCGGCTTCCCACCAACTCCTCAGGCTTCAGGGCATCCGCCCGCCTCCACTCTCCGCTCCGGCCCCTCCTTCCTCGGCTTCCACCTCAATTCCTCCCCAACTCTCCGGGAGCGTTTCCCACGCGCGCCCCAACTGCCCCCCGGGCAGCCACCTCCCAAAGGACAGGCACCCTCCGCCCCGCCCTCGGCAGCGGCCGCCCCGGCGCTTGGCTCTCGACCGGGAAGAGCTGGCCTCTGGGGTCGGCTGGGGCTGCGCGGGACCCGTCAGCGCCCCGCTGTCGGCTCCCGCCGCGCCTCCCCAGCGCCCTTTGTGTGCGCGCCGCGAACCCCTCTGCGGAGCCCTTCCAGCGGCGCCGCCTTGGGAGCAAGAGAGAGTGAAAGGAAGCGCCGGGCCAAGCAAGGGACTGGAAAGGGGCAAAAGGCGACAGCGCTTACTCCGGGAAGATTCCGGCATGTTGCTGCCTTTGGGCTCCTCGTGGTCTCGCCCCTACCCCGACTTCCCCGCCCCGCCAAGGGCCAGGGCGAGGGGGGACGGGGGAGGAGCGGAGCTGCTGGGACCGAGTTGGAAATGGTGCTTCCGGAGCCGCAGGGAAGGGGCTCAAAACTGTTTTGGTTTCGCTGAGGAGATTTAGGGGGACTAGGAGGCTAAAGAAGGGCTGGGGGAAGGCCCGTGAGCGCGGATGTATGTAAATAATCTTGCTCTCAGGGAATACCGGGGCAGCCGGGCTGTGTGTGTGTGTGGGGGGGGGGGTCCGCATGTACATTTTTGCATTGAACTTTTTGAGCAAGTTGGATCGAATCCCACGCGTGGGCTTTTCGACTGTACTAGCCATAAAGTCGAGGTGTCTACACCCTAGCAGGACCAAAGACCTACTTCAAAAGCAAAGGGCCTGGGAACCGAGGTCGTTTAATGGTAAAGGAAGAGGAAAATTCAGTAAGGGAGAGAGATGAGCCCCCAGGTCACTCTCAGCGCCCCGGGTGGGTCTTCCAGGGGCCCTCTTCTTACCTGGTGGCTTTCCTAACAAAGTAAGAGAAGGTAAAGTCCCAGTGATCATCCAGCCACGCTTCCACGGAATCCTGGTCCCGCTGCAGCTTCGACTCCCCGGAGCCGGGGCTGGCCCGCTCCATGATCCGCGCCCAGCGTCTGTGCAGCTGCTTTGTGCCCTTTTCCACCCCAGCTGGGGTCTCTCCCTCGGAGGAGCCGGCCTCTGCCCCGAGACCCTCCCCCTCCGCCTTGCGCCGGTCCGGCTGGCTTTTGGCGAAGCTGCTCCGGCGCCCGGCCAGCCTCTTGCCACGCCCCACCTCTCCTGGTGATCACCGCTCCCAGGTGCGGCGGCTGGGGCAGGCGCAGCAGCCGCGCGGCCTCCCCGGGGTCGGGCGGAGGCGGGGTCTCGCCGGCCGTCGGGGCCCCAGATTCCAAGGCGGCGGCGGAGGCAACTGGCGAGCTCGCCGGCAGCTACGTGGCCGCCGCTGGAAGGAGGCCGCTCGGCCGCTGGGGTGCGCTGTGGGCTGAGCGGGTTCCGGGGAGCGCGCAGAGGTGACTGGGGGTGTGTTCGCAGAGTGCCCCGCAGTAGGAAAGGGAGAGTCGCGATGTGTGCGCCCATCCCAAGTCCTGAAAGCTGGAGTCAGGGGAACCTTCCACCAAAAGTAAGAGGTGCGGCTACCCTGGCGACTTTTCTCAGGTCTGAGTGAACAGTGACCGACCGGCCTCGCTTTCCTCCCCAGGGCTGGGGTCTGGAAGGTGCAGGGATCGACCTTCCTCCGAGCCCAGGCAGCCCGGGGGTGTGTGCCACGGATTTGCGGCTCCTGGTGGGTAACTTCCAACAAAGGCATTTCCGTAATTACTATGTTGTTAATAACCACAAATAATTATAAATTAGGCGTCTTTGCATCAAACATTCCCTTTTTATGACTGCAACAAGATTTTCTGGGAAAAGGAAAAGGTAAAACTGAAATAATCATCATGGTTTGTGTATGAAGTCAGAAGACAAGGGAACCTCTGTACAATTAGGTTAGAGAGCATTGACGCTACCCGGGGATAGTACAGAGCAGACTGGTTAGCCCAAGTTTTATTAGTCATTTATATTTAAATGGAATTAACACACACCCCACAAAAAAGTATCCGTTTCAAAGGGCTCAGCTTTCCTACTCTATTTTGTCCTATCCCAATCATGCTTTCCAAAAAGGAATGGGTGTCTTCCTTTTGCTTTGTTCTCATCTCCATCTCCTTGTCCCGCAATTTGCAGTTTTAATAACGGTATTTTGCAATGACCTAATTTGGGGGCAGAATGAAATATGGAGTTGTATGTTTCACAACGTGTGAACGACACCATTAGCAGTGATATAGCCATAGTGATTTAGCTGACATACTTTTAACAAAGTCCTTTCAAACTATTCTTGGCAAGAATGTTAGACATTACTCATAGAATGAGTATTACTACATAGAAATGCATAATTAAATTGATAATATAAGAACTTTAAAAAATGTCTTCCAATCCGCCAATGCAATGGTTTATCCTTCCTGCATTAAATAATTGTCCTTCTATAATTATAGTTTTTCTGAAACTTTACTGATGTATGCAAGTAACCACAAACCAACAAAAAGTAAGCAAAGCAGTAGAATGTGAAATAATGTGCAATAAATTATATCAGATTTTAAAATGCGAGTTCTGTGATCCTGATGTGTGATTACAGTGCTCGTGAACTCGAGACTTTGTCTTCAGTGCTCAGTTTTTCCCTGTGGAAATCCATGCCTTTCTCCTAACAGAGGGTCAGTTATAATTTAAAACTATACTTTCCTACAAAAAATGAAGTGAATTTTTGGCTTGAATTGTTTGCTTCAGCTGGCTGCCTTGATTAAATAAACAAGCACTATCTAACTGTCCATTTTTCTCTTAACCTGAAAGGGTTAAATTATCAGAAACCAGAGAGTTTTCTGAAAAGTTACTGCAAGAAAAACAATCCGTGGATTCTGCCATTAGCGAGTCTGAATTCTGTGTGGTATACATGGCAGATTGGGGGTTCTTGTGAAGGCTGGTTACTTGAAGTGAGCATATCACAGTGGTTTGGGGGATGAGTTATTTCAAACTGTTCTAGTCTCCAGAGATCTCAGGTAAAATTTGTAACAAATCTCTGTAACTTTAAAGTTCTTAAAGGTGACCTCACCCTGACCTCTTGTTTCCCAGCTCCATTTTATTTTTTATCCCTATCTGATAGATTTTTTAATGTTTTAACTTACTGGTATGGATTGCCCTAAGCATCCCCAATCTTGTTTTAGAATGAGTTGAAGATTGAGTAAATAATAAACATTATCAGGAAATAACTTTAAAAATGCTGTTAATGCTATTTACAACAAACAAATGCACAATGGAGGCCTAACAGAAAGGCCTCCAATTCCCATCGTAGTAGAATAAAACCCAAACTCTCTAATGTGGCTTACAAAGTTCTGCATGATTTGACTTCTACCTACCTCTACTGTTGAGGTTTTGATCATACAACTAGAAAAAAATAAATCAATGATGATCAAATTCTCAAAAAAAGGAATGTGAGTTACAGGAGTCATGAAATCTTTCCTGACCTGCTTTTTTTTTTTTAATTTTTTTATTCTTATGTTAATCCCCGTACATTACATCATTAGTTTTAGATGTAGTGTTCCATGATTCATCGTTTGTGCATAACACCCAGTGCTCCATGCAGAATGTGCCCTCCTCAATACCCATCACCAGGCTAACCCATCCTCCCACCCCTCTCCCCTCTAGAACCCTCAGTTTGTTTTTCAGAGTCCATCGTCTCTCATGGTTCGTCTACCCCTCCGATTTCCCCCCCTTCATTCTTCCCCTCCTGCTACCTTCTTCTTCTTCCTTTTTTTTTTTTCTTAACATATATTGCATTATTTGTTTCAGAGGTACAGATCTGAGATTCAACAGTCTTGCACAATTCACAGCGCTTACCAGAGCACATACCCTCCCCAGTGTCTATTACCCAGTCACCCCATCCCTCCCACCCCACCCCCCACTCCAGCAACCCTCAGTTTGTGTCCTGCGATTAAGAATTCCTCATATCAGTGACTGGCCTGCTTTTTTTTTCATTCAAATCCCATACAGTATATTCTGTCCCCTTTGCAACCTTCCAGTGTATTCCAGGCTTGAGAAAATTAATATATTTGCACTTATAATGGGATCCAGTTTCCTCACTATTGAAGGGGGAAGACTAGAAGGTACATTGTGGTGTTGAAATGGAATTGGAGGTTAAAAATTAAATATGTGGGTTTGTGTGTGGGTGTGAGTTGTATCACGGGGAGAAATCCCACATGATGAAGAAATGCAGGCAGTTTCTAAGTGCTGTGGGTACCCTCCAGCTGACAGCCTACAAGGAGTTCCTGTCAGCAAGAGAATGGATCCCTCAGTCTTACAAATACAAGGAACCAAATTCTGCTAACAACCTGTGTGAGTGCAGAAGTCGATATTTCCCCATTCGAGCCCCAGATGTGACCACAATCCCAGCCAATATATAGACTTGCAGCTTTGTAAGATGCTAAGACATTTTCATAATTGACAACTTAATAATGATGAACATAGTGGATTTATCCATCTATTCTAGTCTTTTAAAATTTCTCCCAGTAATGTAGTTTTTAGTATATTTGTCTTACACATATTTTGTTGGATATATCTCTGTATCTACTTCAGCCCTGTCACTGAGAAGTACTAGAAGCTATGACATTCCAGTAGCAATGAGTACAGTTAGTACCCAGATTTTGGTGTCTAAAAACCATTCTTCACTTTAAAAGGAATCAGAAGTCTGTGGAGAAAAAATTCCAGGTCTAGGACACAGAAAGTATTAGATAAGCCTGGAAAATCTTGTTTTGCTAGAAAATTAGAAAGGCTTGAAAAGATGGCAATATATCAGAAGGACAGAGGATATATCTGCAGGGAGCTTCCAATGGACAAATCTAGAGCAA